GAGAGAGAGAGAGACTGTTTCTGCAATGTACTATTTGAATAATGAACACTGTCGAGCCGGCCGTCTCTCTTCAGGAAGAATCGATGTCGCGCTAAATATACAGAGCCGAAAGTCTTTGCTTAACAACCGGATGAACGACGCGCGCTTCTCTTGGACGCTGTTATGTTTCCCGCTTTAATTATTCAGTGCCTCGGCATTTCCGCTGGTATTTTCGTTACCGTGCACCAGCCGCATCGTGCGCGCACATTAAACGAGACGCCGGGTATTATAGCGCGATAAGATTTACTTGTAACGCGGTTCTCATACTACATGAGCGCGATGGAATGTTCATGGCAAGTACTTGAAAAGATATCGTCGAGCAAGTGCAATTAAAATAAAATTACGTTCATGTTTATTATCAAACTTGTAGTTCACTGTTCCTTCTATTTGTGCAATAAATTACAAAGAATTATTGAAAATATTAAGAGATACAGTTCTTTCTTTCATAAAATATACGATAAAACTAAATATGTAATGCATATGTATGTAAAAAAAACACCGTCTTCTGTAAAAATCGAGGTTTTTTTTATGCCATCATTCTTTATGTCTAGCAACATTCACAAATCTAAGAAAAAGTAAAAGATCAGGACTAACGAGCTCGTTCATCTTCACTGCATGTGCCATTCAGTCGCGTTGTTAGCGCACACCTGCACCTGCTTCGCTTCTCCTTCACAGTTGCATCATCACCGTCGCCGCTTCCGGAAATGTAGGCCGCTTTGACACGTCGCTTGAGGCAAATTTAGAATTCTGTCTGGCCCTACGACGCGTTTTGCGCGCGTGTTACGAGCGGACTCTCTCTCTCTCTCGAGTTTTTCCAGGACGGCACACAAGATCGGGCTTCCGTGACACTCGCAGCTGCAGCAACACGCGCGCGAGAAAAAGGTCGAGCCGCAAATTGTTCTCTATTGCGGCAAATTAATGGACGATTGCTATCGAAAATCTGAAATTATTCTTTACTCGGCTGCGTGCTTCTGACGAGCGATAATACGCGAGTAGTTCTAAACTTTTTCGATCGAGAAAACTGCTTAAGTCCATATTTGTTTGTCGCTTGAGAGAATATGAGAAACAGCATTGTAAAAGTAGTTACATTTTAGTTTTATTTTGCATATCAATAATCTGATCTATTTTTTTAATTTCATGTTTGCTTGCTTTAACAATCTATATGTAATTTATATATATATATATATATATATATATATAATAAATTAAAGTAT